GTCAGATAATCCCCTCTGCTATTAAGATTCAGCAACATCATAGCTGGGGTTTGGCTTATAGGTACAGTTCTTGCCTAGCATGGGAGAGGCCCTGGGCTCCATTCTCAACAGGATGTAGCAAAATCCAATAAAAGAAGCATTGGCCAGATGTGGTGGTACAGGCCTGTAATTCCAGCACTCTGGGAAGCTGAGGCAGGAGAATCACAAGTTTGAGCCTAGCCTCAGCCACTTAGAAAGACCCCGTCTCTGTGGCAAAATACCACAAAAGAAAAAGGAGGAAGGAAGAAGGAAAGATGTATGGGATTCAGAGTCACATTTGAATTCATGATCTCAGATCTGCCACATATCAGCTATATGATGTGGGGGAAATTATTTAATGTACTCCTTAGTTTTTTCATTATTGTTTTTCTGGAAAATAGGAATAGCACTACCTCCCAATATATGATAGTCAACTGGAGCAAGTACTAAGTGCTCAATAAATTTTAGTTCTCTTACCTACTCTCTGGAAAAGAAAGTAAGTTGGGGAAAAAAAGTGCAAATAGGCTACTTTCTCTTATATGAAATTTTTCTGCTAAGGAAGTTACATGACCTTTCTGAACAGAGTGAAAATGAATGCCTATCATCCCACACCTCTCAAAATCTGTAGTGTATCCTCGGTGTTGTCCCATGTACACATTGTAGCTACTCCAGCTTTTCAGTGATTATCATGCGTAGCTGTTTCATCTACTCTACACCATATAGATCTATTTTGTGAATCGTGCATATCCGTGTCCTATCAGCTTGCTTTGAGAATATCACTACTAGTTTTCTGAGGAAAGGTAGTAAGAAACTTCTGTTGCAATACAAAAATGCTTTTCCAACTAACTTCAATTTTAACAAAAACATTCAGGATGTGGCAGTGACAGCACCATCTGAACAAGAGTGACAATCTTACCCAAAGAACTCATATAAATAAATTAATGTGGCAGAGCCAATGATAATAAACTCCTAGAGCAGCTATCCCATCTTCCCCAATTCTCACAAACCATATCACCCTAATGAAAGAACCAACTCAGTCCATTGTAACAATTAATGCCTACTACTGTTCATGCTTTAGATATTATAGGAGGGATGTTTTTAAATGTTTAAGTGTCCAGAATGCTAAGGTTTTAGTTGTAGGGGAGGCAAGGGAATGAAAGTAAGCTGCTATACCAACATACAGCTAAAGAACATAGCCTCAGAACAAGAGTTGAGTTGTGTTGATCATTTAATTCCTAAAAGTAAGTTCAGTATAATCTAAAAGCAGAAAGTTAAATGCAATGCTTTGGGAGCTGCCACACTGGAAAAAGAGGAAGAAACTTGAATAGTTAAGTAAATTGGAAAGACTAAAAGGGCAGGAAAATCTTGAAGGTCAAAACAAGAAAAAAAATTCAATATTATCAAATACATCAACAAATTCAAGAAAGAAAACCAGCAAAAAGTGATTTTACCAGGAGGAAAATAGCAGTGGTCTCTAAGGTTAAGTGGCTTCTGACTGGGAACAGAAGAATGAGATATTTGGATTGATACCTTAATTCACACAGAACATTTAAAAGCCTTTATAATCACATTCATTTATTCCATTAGTATTTACTGTGCCCTTACAAGTACCTAATTCTACTAAACTCCATGCAATAGGGTTACCTAATAGAAAAGCTATAATTAAATGACAATGGCTCCTTTCTCATAAGCAATCTGGATAAAGTTTCAAATTAAGGACTTAAAAATGAATCTCATTTCCCAATAGCTGTTTCAATTTATATTTTTTTCTGATATACTACCCTTTGTTCTTTTTTTAATTAGGAGTAGTACAGTTAGAAACTAAGAAATTGAAGAAGACACTCCCTTCCCTTCAGTCAGCTATAAACATTAACACCACACTAATGATCATCCATGTTTTAAGCTCAGAAGGTAAGCATGCCAAAAGTGGCATGTCATCGATACCAGTGAGGTATGGAATGGGAGGCACCTGAGGTCAGAGGCGTCCGACCCTTTAAATACGGAAAGCCTGAGTTATCAGCATTCCTCTCCTCCTCTTTTTTTTTCCTGTCTGTTCCTTCTGCTATAGTCCCATGCTCTTCATTAAATGTAGTTACTTATTATGAGGTATATGCTTGGCAATTCTTTCCTTGTCATGCACAAGAACCTGGACTATTTTTAGCCCATTCAAGTGTAACAGGAGCATTTAGTTTGCCAACTTAAGGGGCAGCAAACTTAAATATTAAATCTCAAAGTATCTACTATATGCAATGAGGGAAAGCAGAAATGGTACTTACATCCTGTTAGTTTTTTTTCTACAAACACAAAAGCCCATGCAGAATGGTCTAAAGAAACCAAAGTTTCCTAGGGAAAGTGGGAAGGGTGGGGGAAAGGTAATAAGGGAGAGGAAAAAAATATGAGAAACTGAAAAAATGGAAATAAAGTGTTTGTAAATGGGGAGGGGAGGAGGGGGTGAAGGGAGGGCAGGGACGAGGGGAAAAAATGAGAAGCAAGACCTATTATGTAAAGGTACAGAATCCCAATGATGAATGTAACTGTATTGTATACCTAGATTGTACCAATAAACTCAATGAAAGGAAAAAGAAAAAGAAACCAAAGTTTCCTGATTCACACATATAAAATATGCTTATATTGCCTTGATCTCGTAATTTAACAAATTTGTTTTGTCACATCATTGGTTAGGTACTGATTTGGATGGGTTAAAAATAGCAAATCTCAACCTTGTGTAAGCTCTGAGGAAAAACAGAAATGGTCTTTATAAATTGTGTTAAGTATTTACACAAAAGTTTGATGCCTACTACGTAAACCTAAAAACCCACCTGAAATAGGCCATAAAGCTATCAAGCTTACCACATTTTTCAGAATATATGTACCGGTCTCTGCTTTTCAAAGTGCAGTTCAGAGCCACCCCCTCCAGTGAGAAATCTGGTGCCTAGAAATAAGGCAACCCACAGGATATAACTGGCAAAACAAGGATAATTATTTTAAACATATATTGTGGAAGACAGTATAAAATTCACCAGATTCTTAGAAAATAAAACTTCAAAAGAACTTTATTGTGAAAAGCAAATTCTAAGCCTGCAACACTAAGCAAATTCACCCCCTCTGCCATTAGGGATGTTGCCATGCATTAGCACAGATGTCCTTCATCCAGCCAATCCTGGTTATGCTTGTTTTACATCACTAGATCCCCTCACTCTAATCAGTTATTCTAATTAACAAATTATTAAAGACAAGTGAACTTCACATTGCACAAGCTATTATCAGGTAAAACCAGCATACCCACTGCTTTCAGAATTAAGGTGTATAATCTGGTACACACAGCTATAAGGGACTCTGTAACTGGCCATCCTAAATAAACTCACCTTATAAACAAACTAGCCAACCTGAAGTATGATGTTGTTTTTCTTTTTCTACTTTACATTATTTTAATTTTCTATAGTTTTTCCTTCTAATAATGAGGAAAAAGTAGAGAAAACTTTAGAACTAGTTTTCCCAATACCATCCTCATGAAAGATACTGTTTGAAAGTTGCTCTGATGATCTTTTAAAATATGTGCTTCTTTACCTTCACTAATTTAAACAGGCAGAAATCTGATTTACTACACTATTTTTCAATCTTGTTTTTAATCATTCCTTATGTCAAAAGCTATATCCCATCAAATGTTCTAATGGAGAATATCCTTTTTATGCAATAACTCAAAGCATTTTAAAACATGTACAGAAAATTCATTATTATTTAAATCTGTTTTTGCCCATTTTATCCATAACAGTAATTGATTCCCCCTTACCATCAACTCAGCAACCATGTGACAATCGAAGATGAAATAGGTTTCACTAATGGTTGCATGAGACTCAAAACCAAGAAAACAATGTCCCTATTTCAACACAAATTTTAATAATTATTAATTTCCTTATCTTGAAGATAGAGGTTACATCCTTCCCTATACAACTTTTTTCTATACATTTTAATGCAAACTATACAATCACCAAATTTAACCTCTAGGACAATGCTAAGCATATACCATTTCATAACATGTAATGCAATATTACCACAGGAAATAATTTTTAACACAGGGACATTAATTTTTTCACAACAGAGTCAAAGCCTCGGTCACACTTCATACCTCAAAAATGTACTTCCAGGTAGAAACATGAAGCTCCACTTTCCCAGGGTAAAACAGTCATCTCACTAGATTTTTAGAGAAAAACACGATTCTTTTACAGGTAAACAATCTTTATTGTGCAACAGATTTATTTTTGTTAATCAAAGTCACAAAGCAAAATGAAGACTATTAAAATTGACCATAATATTGACAAGTACTATCAACCTGAGAAGGAAATTCTAACTAAAGTTAATGAAGTTCCACTAAATTCCTAAGGAAAACACAGTAATTCTGACACCATTAAGGTAAAAATTAGAGCCTTCCAAACCAACAGGGAAGTGCAAATATTGTATCAGTATAAATGCTTTAATATTGAGGCAAGGAAATGTAAATTTTGTGCTAAAACCTGTTTATCACAGAATATGGATATTGCTTTTTACTCTCAGCGCTTTAGACCCAAGGCCTTAGACCAGTGATGGTGAACCTTTTAGAGCTTTCAGTGACAACTACCGGCTGGCTGCAGAATGCATGCCATAGGTTCATGGCCACTGCCTTAGACTGTTACCACCCGCTAGAGACTCCAATGATAGATTCTATCCAATGACTAGCTGGAATTAAATTATACAGTGTGACTCTGCCTGTCAGGAGAACAGAGACTAATGAAGCATTTTATTTTCTCGCTACAAATTATACAATTAAACCAGATAATTTGGGTTGGGAAGGGGCCAATTCAAAGAGGTCAATTTTCTATCACATCTAATCAATCGCAAATTCAGCAGAGGAGTTAAGTTTCCATCAACACTATATCAAAAGAGTAAATTTACAGTGCCTTTCAAAAGCTCCACAGTGAAAAAAATAAAAGTCAAGAGAAACAGTATTACTTTATTTACAGTTTATTAGCTCTTCCAGTGTTTCAGAAGGACACAAAGTTTCAATAACATCATATGAATGGGACAAGGTGGGCTTAGAATGTACTAAACAAATATAATGATTAAATAAGTCTATTGGTATAATTTTTTTAGCTTATTGGTAACTAATATCACTAGTCTTCCATCCAGGTGGTCTTTGAGTTCAAAGGGGGAAATCTAAGTGTCCTAAAATTGAAGAAAAATAGTTAATTTAGGCTCCAGGGATGTAGCTCAGTGCTGCTGTACCTGCTTGGCAAGCGCAAGGTCCTGAGGTTGACTCCTGGTACAGAAAAAAAAAAAAAAGAAGAAAGAAAAGAAAAAGAAAAAAATTAACTACTCATTACCCAAAACTCAATAGCTATATTCATTTGCTTATATTCTAATACATTCCTACTTCTGAATATTTTTCTATGTGTTCCCAGTCTGTGGCTCAATTAAAATGTGAAGTGTGCCCTAGTCAACAACTCTCATAATATTTCACCATTTCCCCTAAATCTAGTTCCTGGCTAGATGAGTTCATGGCTCCTACCAAATTTTTTTTGCAAAGAAAGCAACACTCTCAAGTACTGATAAAGACTGGTGGATGAAAACTAGGTAAAGAGAGGGGGAAATGCCAATATTGGTCAAGAAAAGAGTATACTTTCCAGGGAACCTCATGAATATGGTCACTTACTATGATTCATTTCTCTTCAATCTAGGCCAAAATAAGTGAGGAAGGGGACCATTTATGATGATTAGGTTGATATGTGTATGTAAACATATACACCCAGAGGGTCCCTTTTGCTGCATAAACAGAGAAAATGACATAGACAAGCGAAGTTATTCTTTTCTGGCCATGCCTTGTATATACAGGGACCTAAATTACCTGTGGCAGGGTTTACATAACAAAAACAATGTTTGAGTATGTTGTTGGACAAGACCTTGACAAACTCAGTCTATGTATCACATGCATAGCTTGAGCAAATATCAATATTAACAGACCTAAGAACCAAAATGAACACACCTTAAAGTTGGAGAGGAATATGCCTGTGTATATGCTGGTTACACTATCTCATACTGGTTATTTGTTATGGCGTGAGAGAGGCAGTAGGCTAGAAAGATTCCAATTATCTGGAAAAATATGAATAAAATTAAATACACACACACACACACACACACACACAAAGCCTGTTCCCAGAATTTTTAAAAGATATGTACAGCTATGAGATAATACTGTGTTGCTTTTTGTACTTTCAAGTCATGATTGGCCATGGTAACAGAAATATAAAGTTAGAGAACTCCATTGTTGTGGATACCAGTGTTAGAAAAGGAACAATCTAAGTTACCCTTCCCCTCTTAAAAAAAAAGAAACAATTTATAACCCAATCACAAACCAAAATCAGTAACACTATACATACAAATCATTCCACTATAAGAAAAATAAAAGTATTTCTTATACTGTGACTGCTAACTGACAGCTTTGTGAAAATGTGACTTTTCTTATTGCCCTCATTTGATCCAGGCCCCTGAAGCAAAACCTTCAAGCCTTAAAAGTGAAAATCTATAAGGAAAATGAAACATTGTCTATGGAACTACAAGGACTTACCTGGAAGCAAGCAACTCCAAAGGAAATTCCTGCAATAACTCCCATTTCTGACTCAATAATGGCCATCACCTTTAGAAAACAACCCTAATGTGGGGAGGAGAACATTAATTACAAAACAAGCAATCTCTGTCTTTCTTTGTGAGAATAAATTCTCTGATCATACTATTTTTGCTACCTGTATCAAGTCCTATTTGTCCTACCTACTTCAGATTATGTGTACTAATGTTAGTAAAAATTAAGTAAAGATGATTCTGTATTAAATCTTCAAATACTTTCAAGTAAGTTTTTAAAGGTTCCTTACTTCATGGTTGATTTTATCTGCATCTCTCTGTGGTGAACAATCTTCAAGTTTACAACAACTCTTGGGAAATCCTGCTTCTGAGTAATAACTAGTATCTTTCCAATTTGTATAATCACTGACACCGCAACAATGCAACTGAAAAATCCAACAAAGGCATTTAGAGTACATATTACAACTTTGTAGTCAAAAATTTAAAGTAACATCATCTGAAATTTGCATTCAAAACATTTACTACATTTATCTCTCTCCTCAACTGATATTAAAACATCAACTGTGACAGCTTTGGACTGGCCTTACTTTCCTGCTATAGTTGGCACTAACAGTATTTGTCTATGATGTAAGTGGAGAGGGAAGAGAACAGGGACACGTGAGGAGAATGAAATGCAGGTATGTCACTTAGTATCTTCCCACTTTTTTCCCACACAGGTGGACAACACGTATACTTTTCAGTAAAGTGATAGGGAATGTGTTCCCTTTTAGAGAAGCCACCTCCTATAAACTCTTACCATATTTTGGATCTTGTCTACTGCTTCACTTCTATAATCTCCTGTAGAGTTATACTGTTTCAAAGCCTTCTCATAATTATTCTTAAAGTTGTTCTTAATCTACAGCAAAAAAAAAAAAACAAAACACAGTAAATATTTTAGCTCTAGGTAAAGTAAGAAATTCTTACATCTGACTAATGATAATACCTTTGATGTGTAGTAATTAACTTCCATGGTTCAATTCTGTCCATTAAGAGATCCAGTCTAGCTGAGAGAACTACTAAGCAAAACATTATGAGATAATAACTACTATACAGTTCAAAGTGCTGTGGGAGCAAGTACTTATCCCAGTGGCAGCTCTATATTGCTTGTTCTACTGCACACACACACACACACACACACAAAATCTTTCCCCACTTTAAATTTAACACAAATTTGATGCCTATGGAAATAAGCTACAAAACTTTACTTTGGGAGACTGCACTAATACTATGTAAAATGCTCTCACGGATGAGCTAAAACCACACTGAATTAATTTCCTAATAATGCCAGGTCAACCCTATTTCTAATTCAGTATTAAGTTTTTTATTATTTGCATTAAATATATCTAGTCTTAAGTATCCCAGCACTTGGGAGGTTGAGGCAGGAGAATCACCATGAGTTCGTGGCCATCCTGGGCTACACAGTGAATTCAAGGCCAGCCTAAACTACATGGCGAGATCCTGTCTCAAAAATATAAAATGTGTGGCTTAAATGGAGGCTTCAATTTTCTTATCAGTTTTGTATTTATTTTATCAGTATAAAGTTATAAATTGAACTAACTCCTCTGGAATAAGTCTTTTCACACAGGAAAATAACTGGTACCCATGTAATTATGAATACTTTTAATTTAATTCTCTGCTGGTGACTTCCAAATTTTCATTTATACTAAAAGTGGACCACAATTTTTATAAGAAAGTCATTACTGTCGGCTATAGGCTGAAAAGTAAGCTCTAAAGTCAGCTGTGATTTTTAAACAATTAAAAGTTCTCTTACTCTGCCACTTAATCCATTTTTATCTTTTAGAAGATAAATTTTAATATATTATGATTCTTGCTGGGGATTTAACTCAGTGGCACTGTGCTTGCCTGGCAAGTGCAAGGTCCTGAGTTTGATCTCCACTACCTCCCCCCAAAAAAGATTCTCTATTTCAGGCTTACCTCATGTCTGAAAATAAATCCTACAATGGCAGCAACCAGTTCAACCAAAAAAATGAGAATCAGAAACATTGCATACTGTGGGACAAAAAGAAAGCGCAAGTCAGCATAAATAAGATATAACACAGCTGCAAAGGGAGTCAAAGTGGGGGAAAAAGTTCTGCTCAGTCAGCTCAGTGGGCTTTTATTGAAAAGGGCAGGAAAAATAATTTTAAAATGTCGATTTTCAAAGTGGAAATTGGCAGTTTAACTGTTACTTGCTGAGTTTTCATAAGGAACAGGAAAAAATTATAAAACGCAATGCCAGCTCCAAGAAACAAAGCCTACAACTTATAAGGCTTTTTCTAAAACCAAGAATCAATTCTAAGGAAAACACTCACCAGTTTTAGCATCCATGCAGAAGCTCGGCAGGTAGCAAAACAACCAAAGGTGCCCAAAAGAATGATGACAGTGCCAGTGGCAATGAGTACGAAGGGGACATTGGTGGCCTTCTCGTTTAAAAGGGAAAAATAATTTCCCAGGCTCACCTTGCCCCAAATGCCCACAGCAAGAAGGATTATGCCAGTGATCTATGTGAAAAAATCAGAAAATAGAAATAGTTAGGCCCTCTACACACTAGCATCTTCAAATTATAAACCAGGAAGCATTTAAGACACAATGGGTGTTCGAATTAATTTAGAAGTCTGGTGGCCACAAACCTGTGGCGGAGATAAAAGGGGAGAGTGGAAGAGGGTAGGAAGGAGATCCGTACACAAAGATGAGCTGTGAACAAGACTTCTTACCAAAATTCTTTAAATTTATCTGTGGGGGAGGGGATTAAACACAAGCCCAGGGTACACAGTATTTGCCGCAGGAATCAAAACTTCATTAATTGTTTTACTCCCCTGACTTAGCAAGAAAATCCTGGTGGGAAAAAAAATGTGTTTTAGTTCCAGAAACATCCCCCTCCCCCAGTTAAGGGTTGAACACAAAGGGATTGTATGCAGAAGTAATCCCAAGGACAGACTGGCGGGAGTGCAGTCATACCATACTTACCTGTGAAACACTCCCCTCTTATGAAGCAGTGAAAAGAAAGACACAGTACTATTAAGTAAGTGTGCACTCAGAGGAGCCAGACAAGCCCTGCCTCTGGCTCTGTGGGTTGAATTCGCTCAGCGAATGCCTGGCCCGCCTGGGCCCGGCTCGGGCTGTGGGTTCCTTCGTTCCGCACCCCGGTGTGAGTTCCAAGCTCACGCCCCAGGCACTAAGTCGCCAGCGGCGGGGGCAGCCCAGACGCCACCGCACTGCGGACCCAAGTTCCCTCCACTCCGGTCACACCTCCACCTAGGCCCGGTCCCCGACCGTCCTTCAGCGCCTCGCTCTCTCACCCAAAAGATGAAGGTGTAGATCAAGAGAAGGCTCTTGAGACAAGTAATGACCGGTTTAGTCTGCAGTCTCCGAGAAGGGGACGCCATGACCAGCCCAGAGCCTGCACCGCCGCACCGGCGGCGTTTGAACCGGGAAAGCGAGACGCGCAGTCCCGAGCTTCTCCGAAAACTTACGAGCCTCTGCAGCTGAGAAGAGCCGGAAACGCTGCGCAGTTTCTAGAGGGTAAAGTCCGGGAGGTTGTTCTGAAACTGGTGACAATTTCCGAGCGCCCCCTGCTGAAGTTTATGAAAAACTACTTACAAATCTTCTAGTCAGAAATTGCAGGTCTTCTGGGGAGCTTGCTTCATTTTATGCTCTCCCAAAGCATCTTTCCCTGCTCCTACCCGTCTCTCTCGCCCTAAAACTTAACCATATTATTTCCGGCACCAGCATCGCTCTAAGATTCGGCCTCCTCGGACTCTGATATCCTAGAAAGAAGGAAAAGAATGAAAGAAGTTGTTTAGAAGCGACCTGAGAATATGTCATTACATGGAAAAATGCTCATAAGAAATACATTTCCAAAGAGAAACAAAACATATTACAAAGCAATATGTATAACTCCATGCATCTAGACAAAAAGTGAAATTTACCTAGGTAGTGGAAATGGGCTGATTCTTCTCTCTCTCTCTCTCTCTCTCTCTCTCTCTCTCTCTCTCTCTCACTTGTTTTGTGTTTTTCAGATTGTTTTGGGAGGGGGGATAAGAATGTATTAATAGAGGGAAATAATCATTTGTTGAAAGAATTCCAAAACTAGCTATTAAAGATAATAATCGTTTTTAGAATTTCCTTCAGAAGTTTACAAAACTCCATTATCCCGCTACTCTTTTATCTAAGTAATTGTAAAGTTCAACCATTTTTAAAAAGGAAGAGTACTATAGAGAATGCTAGGTAATTGTAACTCCTTTATTAAATATTGAAAATAAAAGGCACTGTATATTTTAGCGCAGTGATTTTTCGCATTAAGAAACAAATGATCGCAGATTGGCTAAGAACTAAGGCCACCGGGCTAATAGCAAAGCCCAAAATAGAGATTCTTGTGCTTTTTAATCCAAGATGCTTTTCTTTTATATAAACTTCGTGTCATTTAGATTTAAGATGTCTGCCTCTCTCCAAAGAAATTCTCCCAATTGTTTAGATTTTCCTAGAATTTGAGAGTTTTGTATCTAAAAGGTTAAACTGTTTGCGAGATAGGTAGGAATGACTAACCAAAGCTTCTTTTCTCACATGTCCAGAAGCAGTACTAAGTCAACCAAAGAGATAGAGTGGAATTTTAAAATTATTTAAAACTCATCACTTTGCACACTTTCAACAAAAACTGAGGCCTTTTTGTTTTGACTGGATTTCAAAGGTAAAGACAAGTCTCTAGAGGCCTAGAAAACTTGGATCATGAAAAATGAGCAGAGCTTTACAAAGTATTAAAGTTATCTCCATCTGTAAAACGGAAGTAAATGTTTATTTCAAAGGGGATGGGGAGGGTGGGGACAAGGGGAAAAAATGATAATCAAGACCTGACATGTAAAGGCATAAGATCCCAGTAATGAATGTAACTGTACTGTCTACCTAGAATGTGCCAATAAATTCAATTTAAATTAAAAAAAGAAAGCAAAGGGGATGTAGGTGGAAGTGCTTAACCTGATATACAATAAGTCCATATATTTATCAAGATATAGATATCAGTTCATTTTGTGCCCCTCATAGGGGAAAGCTAATAAGGGAAAAGAAAAAAATATGAGAAAATGAAAAAATGGAAATGAAGTGAAAAAAATGAGAACCAAGACCTGTCATGTAAAGGTACAAGATCCCAGTGATGAATGTAACTGTACTGTGTACCTAAAATGTACCAATAAACTCAAGGAGGAAAAAAATAAATTAAATTAAATTTTTAAAAAATTTTGTGCCTCTCATTAAAGGGTGGGAAAATGAGCCTTGATGCTACAGATTCCCACTGTTTCCTGCTTTCTGGCACCCCTTAGGCTCTAAGACTGACCAAATGATAAGTTCTAATTTGTCCTCAATTTAAATAGGTGATTTATTTATCATGGAAACCTCAGGGTAGAGATGTCTTTTTCATGTAGTCATTTTCAAAATGCATTTACAAAATAATTTAAATACAAATGGATTGATAAAGTAGTATAGGCATCCTGATCTCACCTTTCCGCTATTTTTCACCCTTAAATCGTGTATGCAGTTTCATGTTTCAATATTATATATTGTAAGTAAATTGGTCTATATTGTGGTAGCACAGAATATCTGTTGAAGTCTGGTTTCTCAGCTAAAGGATGAGCTCTTTGAGGGCATAAACCAAGTGTCAAGCAAGTGCCTGTTATCTCTTGAGGAATAGGATTTGAGAGCAGTATCAGTTCCCTATCCAATCCATCTCATCACAAGCTTGATATCACAAAGGGCTTTTTACCATATTGCTATTACAAAAGGTCCTGTTTTCATGGAGGAGAGATTAATGTCCAAAATTTTCTGCTTAAAACTTTGTTTAAAACATATACTGAAAAGCCAGAAAACAGGAAACTTCAGAACCAGAAAACAGTGAAGTTTTATTGGCTTGGTTACACAGAGCTTTCCTGTGCTTTAAATATTGACCTAGGACTAGCTCCTATAACATCCTGCCAGACGTCTGAGGTCCATGGGAACAGCTATCAAAGAATGAATTATTGCATTGCCAGGCTTTATACTAAAATTTTATGCTAAAATCAGACCTAAAATATACGTGGAAAGAATTGACAAATAACCTATCTATATACATCAAATACTCTTTTATATATAAACACTTTGAGGCAAAGTTATCTGCAAACATTCTGACATTCAATGTTTAAAATACCACGTATACCACAACTACAGGAGAGAAGGCTGAAGCGGGCAGATATATCCACAGTTTCTCTCTAGGTTAAATAATCTTAACTGAAAAGTCCTTGTATTAAAAACAAGTATCAAGAGGGAAGTCTTGCTAACTCCTTGTCATTTCAAACAGAAAGTTTCCTTTAAAGGGTAGGTTTGTACCATGTCCTGGAAGTGATTTTTATTGTTAGCCTAAGAGCAAAGAAATATTTCTGTGGCTAAAGAAAAATAAAATAGCTAAAGCAAAAGCCACATCTCATTTCCAATATGTTGACTTTCTTCCTTTCCCTTCTTTTGCCACTCACAACACAACGTTTCTTTGTTTAAACAATAGTCAGTTCCAAATTAAACCAAATGCTGGCATTGAAACTAACATCCCTATAGCCACAACACCTTATACCAGTGCCTCCCACCCTGCTACACCCACTTCCCACCCCCACCCACCAGGCCACCAAACCCAGAAATTCAGTTTAATTTAAACCACGGCCCAAACTCAAATCAAATGGACAAATTCATTTGTTAAAGTATTCCTAAAGACTGTAAGAGTGGAGTGTACCAGCCACTGTTGCTAAGTGCTTATTACCTATTACCTCATACATCATAAAATACCTACTGTGATGTCAGCACTACCACTGTCCTCATTTTACAAATGAAGAAACAGGTTCAAAGAAAGTAACTTGCCTTGGTCTAAGCCCAGCCCAATTCTGTTTCTTTCATCAGAAACAAGACCCACTGTGTAGTGATACATGGCTGCTGCTGTACAGTTCTCTTAGCTTGGAATAAGTTAGACATTCAGCTAAAAGCAAGGGCTCTTTCGAGGCCCCAAAGCACAAAGAGCTTGGTATTACCCTAGCTCTGCCTTGTTCTTGGGAATTTTTTGGTTTTGTTGTTGAGTGTTTCTTTTGCCTTCAATCTAATTGCCCAATCACTTAGGAAGTAATCCTAGTTATCTCAGAATGGCAAGAGAGATTTCACTTTTTCCTGTTTCATCCTTCTAATCTCTTACCTTTCTGAGCACAAAAACACATTTGATGCCAAAAATGGAGGAAAGAGGGAGAATACTTGCTGTATATTCAACATTTAGTGAGGATTATTTATTGTCCATTCAATACTAACTTCCAGTAACTTTCTTTTTTTTCTTTTAAATTGAATTTATTGGTACATTCTAGGTAGACAGTACAGTTACATTCATTACTGGGATCTTGTACCTTTACATGCCAGGTCTTGGTTCTCATTTTTTCCCCTTGTCCCCACCCTCCCTTCACCCCCTCCTTCCCTCCCCACCTTCAAACACTTTAATTCCATTTTTACATTTTCTCATATTTTTTTCCTTTTCCCTTGTTCCCCTTTCCCTATCCTTCTAACTGTCCCTACACCTTTGGTCCTTTTCTTCCTATTTCATGTTGCTAATTGTCCTGTTAGGATCTCTAGTACTATTTTAGTTTTTTACACCAGAGAAACTATTCGGTATTTGAATATGTGTGACTTATTTATTTCACTTAGGAGCATATCCTCAAAATGTACCCATTTACCTATGAATGAATCTACTTTCTCATTCTTTATGGCTGAGTAGTATTCCATTTTATAGAAAAACCACATCTCCTTTATCCAGTTTCCAACTGATGGGCAGATGGGCTGTTTCCAACTTTTAGCTATTGCAAACTGTGATACCATAAACATGGGTGCACGTATATCACTGTGGTATGATTCTTTTAATTCTTTTGGAAAGATACCCAGCAGAGGGATGGCTGGGTCAAATGGAACCTCTAATCCTACTTCTTTGAGGTATCTCCATATTGACTTCCATAGTGGTTGCACCAGTCTGCACTTCCACCAACAATGGAGAAGGGTCCCTTTCTCCCCACAACTGTGCCAACATTTGCTATTGTGTGATTTCTTGATATCAGCCATTCTTTGTGGTGCGAGGTGAAATCTCAGTGTTGTTTTCATCTGCATCTCTCGAATGACCAGTAATGTGGAGCACTTTTTCATACATTTACTTGCTGCTTTTATTTCTTTGTCTGAGAAATGTCTGTTCATTTCAGATGCCCGCTTTAGAATTGTGCCCTTATATTTGGGGGGGGTTGTTTTGAGTTCTTTGTATATTTTAGATAATAGTTCTTTGTCTGAGGAGCAGCTGGTAAAAATTTTTTCCCACATTGTAGGTTGTCTCTTAGTTCTGTTGATGGTTTCTTTTGCAGTGCAGAAGCTTTTTAATAAGCTGAGATCCCAGGTGTTGATTCTTTCTGCTAGTTCCTGTGCTACTAAGGATTTGTTCATAAAGTCTTTTCCTATGCCAATGTCTTCCAGAGTTCTGCCTAACTTA